TTACCAAGCAAAGAGCTTCGCCCACTCACCTCCCCTCTACCTTTCACATCTCCTTCTTATTCTCTCGATCCCACAACTTGCCTCCTTCTGTCTAATGTGCACGCACATTTCTTTGCATCTTGTTCTCGCCCGAGCTCATTTCGAACACGGTGGCCTCCTTTCAAGGTTGGCCTGACTTTGGGCGTGTTGGATTTACAACCCCCCCGTCTCTGCTTGCCGCTCAGTGCCCTCACTGTCAATCTCTGTGAAAAATGGAGGCGGCGGCACATCGCTGGCATGATAAATTCCGGGGAGCAGTGATCCTTTACAACTGAACGCCTATTGTAGCCTATTTGAAGACATCCTTAAACATCTTTGCTGCTAAGTTTGGTTTAGACTGTGACTGTATTAGCAACCCAACAGATTTATTAGGCTCTGTAAGCACTCTGTAAGGAAGAACGACATTAGGAGGGCTGCACAGAATGCAAGAGGCACGTTCATCCCCTAAAAGCTAAAACGCACAGCTGGGTAGCTGCAGACTTGAGCACAACTGTAACTAAAATATTTTTATTAGGTTTTGTTTTTTTGGGTTTTTTTTTTAAACAGATGCCCCAAGTATTGGATGGAGTCATTTGCATAAAGCAAATAAGAAAGCAGCGTTATCCACACAGGAGGAAATTGACTTAGGCTCTTTGCCAAGCGGGTTATGCAATGAGATGCAAAGGAGAAGAGGGCATTAGTGAAGGCCAGTGGAGGTGGATGCAAAGGAGTGAAGACGAAAGATAAGTCAAAGGCAAAAAGATAAGATGGGAAATTGTGTAAAGGGGAAGAGGCAACTACCAACCATGACTTGCTTTTCAATCAGATAATGCAGCTTTTTCATTGTAACAATTGTTCGAAGAATTAAATTGAATATTAACCAAAAATGATCCATTGTACAATGTGAAAAAAAAAAAACATTATCACATTGTTTTTTTTCATGAGGCCACTTATTTACAGTGCATGTCATCTCAAAATATTTATATGACAAAATGCTCACAATTATTGCAGACTGTTTGGGCAAGTCAGCCATCTTCCCATCCATTTTCTAATCCGCTTTATCCTCACAAGGGTCGCGGGTGTGCTGGAGCCTCTCCCACCTGTCGTTGGGCAGTAGGCGGGGGGACACCCCGAACCGGTTGCCAGCCAATAGCAGACAAGCCAAATCATCATTTAATGAAAAGTTTTGAAAGCAGCCCAGGGTGAAGGGCAGACATGAAAAAAAAAGTAACAAAATCAATAAGAACTCAAAAGTTTGGACGCAGTAGAGATCCGTGCCAGCTCCGGGCTCATAGGTCACAACTAATACATTACAAAACAGAAAGAAAGAAACTTTCAAGCTGATAAATTATACTCCACTTTCTCAAAGAATATGTTTTCTTCCTCGCTAAACTGTGCAAGTCAAGTGTGCAAGGTCTCGCTGACATCTTGTTTGCTACTTTTTCTCAAATATCCATTCTTTGTTGGCTCTTCTTCCTGATACCAAGGCCGACAAGTCTATTGCTCTGGCTGACATCTTGAATGATAAGCAAAGTAAGAATACATAAATGGAAAGCCACACAAACGCCTCCCTTTCAAAAACCACTCCACGCACGGGACGCTGACACACAACGGTGGGCTTGGCACCACAGCATCCCTTCAAAACAAAGCTGCGCTATAAAATACAGAACACAGCACAGCTCATCCCCCCCCACTGCCTTTCTTCCCCGTGTCTCTTTTATCTCTCCATTAGCTCTGTTAATTGTTTATCAAAAGGAGCAGACGACAGCAGCGGGGCATATGAAAGCTTGAACATGCAAGACCCGTTTTAAAATTCATGACAGGTTAATGGTTTGCTAGTTGCAACGTTAGGACCCAGTGAACTCACGTTGTGCACATTCACATTCAAAACAGGCTGCTTCGAATGACTACTAAGCAGTCCTTATTCTAGGAGGTAATTCATATTCTAATTAACTTTTCAATCAAAGCTGATTAATCAAGACACGGCCTACTCTGTAATTATGCATCTATTTTAGACCCATTGAGAATGAGACGTTATTCAGTGATTTTTGACACACTTTCCTTTCCGTTTTCACCATTTGTTGATGTTGATGTCGCTAAATACAAAACTACAACGGAACCCATCCAACTATTTGAAGTTCAGCCAAAACAGGCCAGAAAATCTTTCTGCACGGTGTCCACAAAACATTTTCGGTCTGGTCGCTGATGGTGTAGGGGCACACGCGCCGGACTTGTGTGCGGGCAGCGTGGGATCGGTTCCCACTCAGTGATGGTGCGGATGTGAGTGTGAATGGTTTGCATGTTCTCCCTGCGCATGCAAGGGTCTCTGACAGTCCTCTGGCTTCTCCCCACTTTCCAAAAACATAGTTGTGAGGTCCATGACAGACTCGTGTAAATGTGAGTGTGAATACTGTCGTTTTTTTGTCTATATGTGCTCTGCAAATGACTGCCAACAAGTCCAAGGTGTACACCACCTCTCGCCCGAGGTCCGCTGGAACAGACTCCAGCTCATACATGACTCGAATGAGTGTAAGCACGAAGGAAAATGGATGGATGGGTACAATGGATTCATTTCTCTGTGTTTTGAAATAGAACAACTGTACGGCAGGCAGTTCATAATTTAGCTTTAAACATTGTGCGATTAATAATGGTTGAGCAATTATTTGAGCCTGGTTTGGCAAATTTAAATTCAATGAAGAGCACTGTTTGGAATTCTGAAAAAGAAAAAATGGAAGTCGATCAGCACTCTTAGTGTGCTCATCCTAGTTTTTTTTTTCTCTACAAGCATTGATTGCACCTCCCTCACCTTTTGATGCAAAAGAAGCTTGATGTTCCTATTCGCAACAAAGTCTTTTCTCATGAAAATTTGAAAAAAGTGAAAAAGAGAGAGAGAGGGAGAGAGAGAGAGAGAACTGGAGAAGGAGTTGGAAAACAAAGCTGGGTCAAACTACAGCTCGTTGCCACTCTCAAAGCTCTCCTAGTATCCTTCTGCAGCCCGCTACTACTTGGAGTCAACTCAACCTCTCCATAATAGTGTGAGGTGGATCTGCCCATGCATCAGAATACACCATCAAATATTTATCAGAGAGCAGCAGTGATTTTGACCGTGAGCTCATGCTTTTGACAGCGCTCGCCTGCTCTTTATTGGAGTAAACACAACCAATCCAATACTGCCGTTCTTGCAAAACAAGGCGGATCCAGATGAAAAGACCACCAGCCCTTGTGGTGTCTGCATGAGTCACTCTATTTGCACATCCAAATCATATCTGCGTGCTGAATATTTCGCCTAAATTTCTGCGATATGAGGCAATGTCTTTTAACTGGAAGCTTGCAGGGAGTAAGTCAGGCAAACTCGCCAGTAAATAAGTCTCCGGCATGGATCAGAAGACACATATTCATGCTCGAGCAGACACATTTAAAATGCCACCAAAACACCGTCCCAGATTTTGCCCTCAGTCAAATGACATCAAGTGCTCACTTACAGGTCCCCGAATGCCCCAGTACGAAGCAAAATCAGCCCGTAGGCGGAACACGGAGCAATCACAGAGATAAGCGCTGCTTTTAACGTGAGTTAAAAAAAAAAAAAAAAATCAATGCCCCGGTTGTCATGCTGCATTACATGACTTGAAAAAATTAAGGTCTGTTATGCCATGTAAATGTTGGAGCTTGACTGAGGTTGAGAATGTGCTACAGGGGAAGACACATTGATTCAGTGTGACAGTTATCAACAACCCCTGGCTAGGTAGGAGACGCTGTCATATGGAGCTGTTGATTCCCAGTGCTATGACTCACGAGAGAAAAGAGTCAGAGTTGTAGTATTAGGAGAAAAAGTTTTTGGCTGTGTTCTTGTAAAATGACTCCTTTTTTTTTCAAAACTGTAGGACTTAATTTTTGTTATCGACAGTGTTTAACAATCGGATACCAAATGAGCTCTAAATTTACATCATTCATAAGATGTTTGTATATATATATCAGTATGTTACACAATAATATATCAGTCCTTGAGTGTTGTGAAAGGCGCTTACAAATGAAATGTATTATTATTATTACTATTATATGGGCGGCATGGGTCACTTAGTGGTTCAATCCCGGGTCATTGTGACCTTGTTGAAGATATAGAAAGTGAACCCGCAGCTCCCCCTGATGCTGTGTCATCAGTGGGAAAATGAGGAAAGCGATTTGGGTAGCAAAGGCAGAGAAGCGCTATACAAGTGACAGCCTATTTATGTACAAGCTCTCAAAATAAATTTGGAATTTTAATGCTGACACATTGTTATTGTTGTGATCTCCTGTCATATGAAAACAGAAAAAAAATAGAATAGACACATTATGCTCGATTAATTTTTGACTTGGAGAAGCCCATACCAAAAAAATTGGGTGTTGAAAGTTACATTGAATTTGAAATGTTTTATTTGTCTCCAAAATGGTAAAACACTGAGAGCTCAATGAAACTAAAAGAGTCCACATGAAAGCACTTCATGTCAGAAGGTCTAATAGATTTGTTCAGTGCTGAATATATAAACTGTAAAATTTTCCTCAAAAAATTTTATTTTCACAATATTTCAACTTTTATTCTCGTCTGCTTTTGACTCGAGCATGAATGTTCCTTCTTTAACGGTTATGATGCATAATTTGCTATCAAGCCACTGTGGCCTTCTGTGGAATAGGCAGCAGCATTTGCCAACCCGTCAAGGCATAATTTGGAGCAAAAGACACCAGTTCATGTGCGTGTCAACCTTAAATAACTGTTGTAATACAAACATTATTTGACTTTAGCAAGTGGCAGAGGTTTTAAAGCGGACATTGTTGGTGCAAATACAACATGAAACAGTCACTGACTTGTGTATAAACAGTCAGCGAATCATACAGATGATTTTTAAGCATTTAATTTAAGGGAGAGTCACTGCACATTGTCCAGACGGACATTATACAGCTCCTGATTTAAAAATCCTTCTTACACGCAGGACTCGTAGCGGTCTTACCTGAGCTGAGCGAGACCGTGTCTTTCTCCCATGATACAACACTGACGTAGGACTCGACAGAAGCAGGGATAATGCACTTGAAGATGGCTACGCTGCCTCGCATAGCCTTCTGGTCAGCCACTCTGACCGTGTAGGGTTCCCGTGAAACTATGCCAGATAAACAGTGAATCAAAACAATTCGAAACTTTTTTTTCTTTCAGTTCTTCCGATATCCATCCTCACAAAAAGTTCCCCTAGCCCACCTCGATGGACTTACCAGCTTTAATGTGGACATCCTGACTCCGAATCTTGCCCGAGGGGTTTTCGGCAGTACAGTAGTACGTGTTGTCGTGGATCAGCTTGCTGAAGCTGGATGGCAGGAAGTTGAAGATCTGGAGCGTTCCGTTGGGGTGAACATGGCGGATGCCGGGGACGTCATAAATCTCCTCACCGGTGGCCAGGTACCAGCGCAGTGAGGCGGGGGCTGCGCCCCCAGCAGGACAGGGCACTGAGGTCCCTGTGGTGCTGGCGAATACTACCTCTTGAAGCGATGCATTGACAAAATATAAGCTGGAATGTAGGTCCTCACTGAAAACTGCGGAGGCAGAAGAGAAACGCATTAGACAAAGACAAATCGATTTCGCAAATAAAAAGGTGACGTTGACACTATTTGCTTTAGGTGGCAGCAAGAAATGATGTGAGAGGTCTGATCTGCCTCTAGAATTTGACGCCTGTGCACTTGAAGATCAATGGACACGTTACCGTCCACTCACCGCTCTCGTCTTTTGTCATCTTCCTTGAACCAGGAAGTAGGCAGCTAATGAATACAACGGCCAGACAGCGTTAGCCTAAAATGCATACGGAACTGCCAACTAGCCAGATCGTGCATGCATGCATATCAACCGCCATGTTTGATAAATATTAAGCATCCACAATCAAAATGAGTTGATTGTGGATCTATGTTGAGTCAGGTCAAAAAATATGTGGATATGGAGTACATGCTTCATGTTACTAGCTTGCCCTAGCCTGCCATCGGAGTCTCCGAGCTACGAGCATGGTGGCTCTGCTCTAAATGGCTTACAGTGACACCGACGGCAGGCTCTGGGGAGAAAACATTTTAGCACTTCATAAATTCCTAATAAGGTCTCAAATTGCAGACTCCCCCCCCCATCGTTTTTTCTCTGCTCCTGCAGCTTGAAACCAGCAATAAGACCCCCTTAATATCTCGCTACTCTACACTCTCTCACCGACATACAAATTGACACATTTCAGCAAATCAAATCAACTCTTGATTTGAAGTGAAACGGTTGCGTATGTATTGCAAATTGTAGGCTATTTACTGTGGTGATGTAAGCATTTTCTATCGACAGCCTCTCTCACGCTCTCTTTCTATAATCCCATCAAAAAGATTCACAAACACAAATTGAATGAAAGGACACACCTGGAGATGATGATTAGCTCAGCGCAGTTTACATGTTTTCGTTTCGTTTCGTTTGTTTACTGAACATAAAAACATATACAGTAATAAGTTGACAGAAAGTAAGGTAAGTAAAATAGCAAAAAGGAAAGAGAATATTCATGTTCAAAGCGAACTAGGAAGAAGTGGGAAAAATGTATTTCGTCCTTCCCATTATTCTCTATAAATGATCGAATCCTGCACAAAAACTGTCAAAAAAACCAACCAACCAACAGGGATGGAGGCAAATAGCAGAAGTAACCAGTCGTACCGTGAACTTTGAAACTCATGGCCACTGCCTGTCAAACTAGTTTGGCGGGGGGGCGCTCATGGATTTTTTTTCAAATGGCACACAATACAGTATTTGCACTATTGGCTAAACACTGAGACAGGTACAACTGGTCCATCATCGGCAAAAATCTATCTCACATGTGAAAAGTGTGTGAGAGCAACTGACTTGAGCCGGGCCGAGAGCAAAAGCCAGATTGATTGAATTAAAAATGGAGAAATGGACTATTTCGCTGCGCTGCTCGTTTTCTTAATTGACTCCGCTCCCCTCGGCCAGGGCGCCCGTGGTCTGGTGACGCAGGTCCATCGCCTGCGCAGAACTCACAAAGAGGACGGTGTCACGCCCCAACAAACGGCCTCAGCGCCGAGCCACTTACTACTTTGCCCGAGAGAAGAGGCGTAATTGCCGTCGTTTTTCATGAGCCCAACTGTAAAGGTGAAATCAGTGACACTGTTCAATTATGTATGATATGCATTTATAATTGACTGTGATTTTCTTTTAAGTCTCTGGTTGCTGAGAGGAATCTTTGAAGAGAAGAAAGTGAATTTCTGTAAAATGTGCAGGTCAAGCTATTACACACGACGCAGTGAAAACACATTCCTTTGTGCTGCATTGTGGCAACATTTACTGTAGTTCCTATTGTACCACCATCGGTTAGAAAATCTTCCATCGGCCTATCCATTTTCGAATGTTTATCATGTTCGCAGTTGCGAAAGAGTTGGGGTCGATCCCAAAACAGACAACAATTTAGAGTCTTCAATTACTCTGGTCAGCAAAAGTTTTTTTTTTTTTTTTTTTTCCAAATCAGAAATGCAATTTAAAAATTTCTCTACCGTAGTGCGCTGACTCTGAATCTGCACTTGTTTTTTTTTCTCTAGCACATCATGTTTTAATTAAAAAAAAAATAATAATAATAATAATAATATAAAATATAAGCTAATATAGTAAAAGTTGAGGTTCAGCAACAGGTGGATTCCTTTTTCTCAAACATCACAAATTGCCGGTACATAAATTACAATGTAAATATTTTTTTAAGTAAGTTAAAATAAATGAATTACAACACATGGTAAAACCTGTATTGTGTCAGCTTTTAGAGGTCTCACCACAAAAAACTAAAAAAAAAAAAAAAAAAACAAATGAGAATGTCTCAAAAAGATAGTAAAAAAGACATTTTTGAAATCATTGTCAAAAAAAGTAAATGTAGAAACATATATATAGCCAAATTTGATTAAAACTTGCTGTCGACCGGTTTTATCGAAACAAGAAGCGATTGGAATTTCACTGAAAAAGGTTGTTCCTGATTCCCAAATTTCATCTTCAACTTGAAATTTTTTTTCCCCTTTTCGATCTCAACTACATTACAAGGCACGTTCCCAACTCATTTAAGGGATTCTATTATGTGTGCAGGAGGCAGTGGAAATGTCTTTTTTTGTGTGCCACCTTCTAAAATGCTCCACATAACTCCTTCATTTCCTGTTTATCAAACTAGGGCAACATATTTAGAAAAAAAACTTCTCAGTGTCACCGTAAAAAAACAACAACAAAAAAAAAACGTAATAAGTTACTCAGGATTTTAATAAAACCTTGGCCTTTCTTTTTTAAGGTCAGAACGGTGTGTATAGGATCACACAAAATTGCACAGATGCATGAAATGAAAGCATTCAGTGAATTTACATTGCAAGATATTCCACCCTGACCAAAAGTGTTTGTTGCATCATTTTATTTCATGCAGCCTCTAGTTGTTTGGATTCCACATTCTTTGACAGGGGCATGAAATAAAAAGCTGCGCAGAGCAAGCAAAAGGCAGCAAAGAAAAAAACAAAACAAAACAAAAAAAACAACATTTTAACCCGCAAGGGGATTCAATCTCTCTTTCAGAAGGCATCTGTTGAGTTCATTCCGTCGTCGTGTATGCGGCGACAATGGGAACCGTGGCAGTGTGGCACCGGAGTCCGAAAAGTGACCGTGTGACAGCAAAGAACCTTGGATAATTAAAGCATCGTTTGTGTGCCCGCAGGGCAGTGTGTGAGGGGCCGGGACATCACACAAGGCTCACTGAGATACAAGAAGAGAAGACTGTAATATATTATTCCACCCTTTCAAATTTTTATATATTCGAGTCCCTTTTCTCACCACAGTGTTTCAAATTGAACCAACATGACAAATGATTTATAATTTGTTGCAGGCAGAGTTTATAGAATTTATGCTCGAATGCTCCATAAGTCAATGGAAAATTTGGCATATAACAGTCACGCCAGCTAAGCTCAGGCTATCAGGTTCTGGACCGAACCGAATGATGGCTTTGGATTCCAGAAATGCAGGTTCAGACAAAGTGCGATCACAAAAATATTTATTTAACAGAAAAGCGCACTGACAAAGTACAAAAAGAAATCGCTGCTCACAATGAGCCAAGAGAAACAATGCAAAACCAAAAGCCCAGGCAAAAGGCAAAAGATACGAGGGAACACCAAGAATTAACAAACGAAATGTCTATATATATATATATATATATATATATATATGTATATATATATATATAAAAAGCAAAAAATCTGCTGAACGATGGCTCGTATATTCAAAAAATTGTTTGTCGAGTCATTCATATCTCAGGACACCATTTTAAATTTAACCAAAGATGTCTGAGACAGGCAGATGCCAACGAGCCCGAAGTGAGTAAACGCTGGCACTTATGTGATGTGCCTGGAGGCAATACACCATGCGCCCAAGCTAAATAACTGTCCTCCAATTTGCTCTCATGAATATTAAGCAGCGCCGTGACAGTGGAAAGGGGCGGCTGCGTGCATGCCACTGATCCTCACCGACAGATCTGTCCTGTGATGTTTGAGGGGCTACGCTTAAACGATGATGTCTAAATTATACACTTGCTGCTTCTGCATAGGAGCTCACGAGCGAGAACAGGGTGAGGAGCAATTCTTTTTTGCTGCTGGAGATGGAAAAAAAATATTGGCTTTCATATGAAAGATGAATGAGACAACTAATTATTCTTTATCTTTTTTTTTCTTTTTTAGATTAGATCTGGATCTGATACGCAATTTGAAAAAATGGCACATCTGGTTTGAATTCACTCATTTTTCAAATGATCAAAAGTACACTGGAAAAAACATTGTGTTGAATCTGCTCAATTTTATTTGGTCAAGTGGCTGCACACAAAAGAATTTCCTGGATTTAGATACCTTTTTTTAAGTTGATGTACCGTCCACTTAAAAAGACTGCTGACCGCTACCAACTTCCGGTGATGAAGATCACGCGCCACCGTAGGTTAAAGGTGACCTGCTTTTTTAAATTTATTTTTTAATACTTTTTCGTGAAAATGAATCCCATAGGATGCTTAAGGTGCAGTATGCACTAACACAAACATATATAATATTAATAAGAACACACCACACCCCCCCCCCCCCCCCCCACACACACACACTTTCTGCCTGCACTCCCCACTACCGGTCAGTCACGATCGACTAGTTGGACACCGCTGTTGCCGAAGAATTTTAGTGAAACAAGTATGATAAAATATCATAAGGCACTTTCTGCCAAAATCTCAATCTAATTTCATCTCTGTAATATTCAAATTGCCACAACTGAAAAAAAAAAATGTCGTCTGCTTCTAAATGGATGTGTTCACGTGTTAATAATGAGTTTTGTAAGTGGCACTAATGAGCTCTTCAAAACTGGGTTACCAAATGCATGTGTTGTTCATGGTTTTACCCTTTCTCCTAATAACAACGCACATTTGTTTATTGAGTGAGATGATGTGCAGTTTAGTATATTTCGACTGTATGTTCTGGCCAATAGTCCAAGCTCAGCGTTCATCCACTGTGCATTGTCGCTGTTA